CAAGTGAAGTAATTATCCTATTACATACACATGTACAATACAATTTAAAGATAAATGAAATTTTAAGAAATCTTCAATTATTTTGTCCTTAACAGACCATTATGAGTAAATGCGTTGATTGTAATAAAGATTGTTGGTTTGTGTTTCAAGTTTATGCAGGCATTTGTGATGTTGTACTTGAACAATTTATAAGGGATGAGGATGAGAAAAAAATGTTGTCTTTTAGTTTCACTTACCCCGCTGCTCATATATAATAGAAACACAATAACTAATATATAAAGATAACGAACAATAAGCAAGCTCAAGATCCAATTAAACAAATGAATACAAATTGAAAAGACGGCAAACACGGACCACCTGGAAACACCAGAGATGGGATCTGGTGCTATGAAGGAGTAAGCATCTCCTTTGTCTTGATAAGGTAAAGGGAGTGAAAACTAACAATTTTTATGAAAAACTGTCATTGTAAGGACCATAGAATTGGTGAAATTTTGATTTCAATATTACATTTATTATGACGCACTGTGAGTGTAAAGAAACCCTTAGATCCTTTTGATATCATTCAGGTGTGTAGTTTTGTTTTAATACTTTAAAAAGAATATCTCAGGGCAAAAGAAAAGAAATTCAAAGCAATTCGTAAACTCTGTGATTAACAGTTAACAACAACCTAATTAACATTATATATATATATATATATATATATATATATATATATATATATATATATATATATATATATATATATATATATATATATATATATATATATATATGAGCTCCCTTGTCTTTGAGTAAATTTGACCAAAAAAAAAACTTCACTGTTCTCATTTTGGAACTCTTTGGTAAGCTCTTATTGCAAAGTTTGAATTTACTGGGTGGCAGTCATTTCATATTAAAGGCCGGGGAGAGGTTGGTCCTGTAAATCTCTTGAATTTACTTTTATTAATAAAAAGCAGGTTAAAAGGGACTTTTTTTCAGTCATCCTACCTGGCATCTGATTTATAGATAACAATTGTTGTAAGTTTATGTTTTCTTTAGTCATTTTTGAGTTGAGTTTATCCAATGTTCATCTTTTCTAATTTAGTTTTAAGAATGGATGCCGTGAACAAGGTTCGACGACTCTTGATATAAGTTTAAAACTATCGGATAAAGGAAATAATTATTAATTTTAATGTGCATGTAATCATTTCAATTTTTATCTCCTTTTCTAAACAAACAACTTATTGTTGTGATGAAAAATATTGCAACAAGAACTATAAAAAAAAATATCATATTTCATAAATTATATCGAGCTGGATAAAGAGCTGTTTAGTGAAAGAGAAGGTCAAAATAGAAAGATCTGATGTAATGTCAAAACATTTTTTCCCGATCAACACAGAGTGGGGTTCCTAATTGTGTCGGTGATTTTATAGCCACTGTTTATGCCATTTTTACGACTTTCTGTGTGAATTTTGAGTCCTAAATCGCCCGATGCTCATGTTGTTTGTGCAGTATTGATTCTGTTTGTAAACGATATTATGTTTTACTTCTATTCTTTAATTCGATTGATATGTTAGTGGTTTCATGACTCAATTTCATCTGTATTGTTTTACAAAAAATTACTCTGCATTGTTTCCTATTGAAAGAAATTCATTGAATCTGCTCAAAATTGTTTGATTTTTTTTCTTCCATTTTTCATGTGTAAAATATCGATAAAATGTACCATTGATCTTAAAATTCATTTTATAATTGATGTTCAGAATTTCACTTTTTTAAATTGAACATTATAAACTAAAAGTATTTCTTTTCTTTTTTAACAAAAATGCATATATATATATATATATATATATATATATATATATATATATATATATATATATATATATATATATATATATATATATATATATATATATATATATATATATCTTGAATTTATGCAGTAATTTGTGTACATAATTGAATACCTTAATTAGAATAAACATTTTGGAGTCATTGTTGTTTGTTTTTCATTATTTTATTTCATTTTTTACCTCTTGCATTTTTAAAAATTTGTTTGTGATATAACTTTCCAAAGGTTCTTGTGGCGTGTGTTTTTTGCTGCTGGCGGCGGCCATTTTGAATACGATGTGCAAGTTACGCTATTTACCTATGTTAGCTGTTGCAAGCTGTCAATACCACGCTAGATTTATTACCACGATAGATAGAAGTGATCGGAGAAACGCCAATTTTATGAAACATCATTATTAACCAGAATATGATTTATAGACCATGAATTCATTAAAGTATGCCTACAAAATAATTATCAATACTTATAATATTCCTGCTTTTCTTAAGCTGGGACTATTCTTAAAAATTATTTTTATTTATAATATTCTTCAGAAATATTGTAGAAATCTGCGGTAAATTTCTAGTAAATTATACTTCTTCTGGAATGTCCTTATTATGACTTTCATCGAATTTTTAAAATAATTTCCAATCAGCGGAAACTCATAATTTTCTTCCACAACAGAATTTAGACGTACATAACTATTTGTTTGTCATTTCGTAATAAGAATATTAGCATGATTTAGAGGTGATGCAAAACAATCATTTTCCGATTTTATTTCTTAAAAGACATTAATTGAAGCAGTCGATCATCAGCTAATGGTCCCAAGAGGGGGCGAGCAAACAGCATCGAATAAAGCCAGCTTTACACGTAGTATCCATCTCCCTCCATCACCGACAAAGTTGCCCCTGAATCAATCACCCCCTCTCCAAGACAATAGGAAACCTATTTACACCTTGAGCTAGCCCCTCGTGTACGAAACTAAATCCCCACTAAATGGAACAAAAAATGTGTTAGACTCTCGAATGGCGATCATAATTTGTTTCAATCAAATTTGCACATCGCCTTGACGCGGTAATGGAGATGAATTCCCAATAAAGTCCCTACACAGAACAACACAGATAGTGCTGTCTAAGTTCTGGTAATGACGACAAATTGCATTTCTGACTCGTTACTGGCGGGTTCTCATTTTGTAAGAAAAATTTTCAGTTTTCGAGACTAGAACATAAAATGATGTCCACCGTCTTGTTTGCTCAGAAAATCATATTTCATCAGTCAATGATGAGGGAATTATTTTGTCGGCTAAGGTCAAAAATCAATTATTTTTCCATTTACAAATACATTGTTATTTTCAACATATTTCTCTGAAATTCATCATGAATTGGAAAAAAAATAGAAATCCCCAGAAAGTTGTTTTCAGTTTTGTTTTGTTTTTTAAATTGGTGAATTTTGAAATGATTGTTTTGATTGATTTGAACTATTTACCTGTTTTAATATTCTCAACAATTTTTTACTTGTTTGAAATCTCAATCTTGTATACAATGTGAAAATATTTAGGAAAAAATAATCCTACGCTTTATTTTGAATTCAATAATATTATCTCACTGGAAATAGATAGGATGTAGTTGTTCTCAATAAATTGAGAATTTTAGAAATTTTCAAAATATTTCAGGAATTGAAAAATTACAAGCAGAGTAGAAATGGCCTTTGTAATAGACTGAATTTGATTTGGAGGAGATAGAAGGTAAAAAAGAAGAGGAACTTTTGATGTTAGTGAGAAAATATTTTGTTAACGTGGCCGTGAAGCAGCTCTTAATCGGATAATGTCAAAAGATAGGAAAATTCCACAGCTTCAATGACTTTGTGAAAATTTCTTTTTATATTATTGATGCTTATGAGAGTTATAATTTGAAGGAAGCGGCAAGGTGATAAACTAGGCGAGTCTATAACCCTTAATTATGTCGTTGTGGACCGACATCAATATTCCCTTCCTCTACTTTTATGAGGAATATATTTGTGTCAAGACATGGAATTAAAAAGAAGACGAAAAGAAAATAAGTTTTCTTGTCTAGTCATAAACATCAACATTTCAGTTTATATTTAATAAAACTCTTTTAAGTATCAGTCTGGTGTTCTGCGGCTTCTTTGGTTTCAAAATCTTCATGGGATTTTTGAAAAGAGACCCTTATTCATGCTTTCTTTTTCAAGGATTTAATTAATTTATCAATATAAATATGCAGAATTTTTGGCTTATTCTAATTTCTCTTCAGAAATCCCTTCTTTTGATATAAAATTTATTTTTCAATATTATCTTTTCTACACTTCCGGTTAGACGATCACAAGTTTAAATTTCAAAGCAGGCACAAATAATATTCGAAGATTTGTAAGAAGTAAATATACATTACTCACCAATAATTTATAAAAGTTCCATATTGAAATCAGAAGAGCTTAAACAGACTACATATTCGAATAATTGAAAATCCAATACAAAATGAACTTTGGCAACGGGTAGCCATATTTTTTATGCCTTATTGTTCGGCTCAGTTACGGTACCTTCGTTACGTAACAAAGGGTCTGCATTGAGCTAAATGAAATCTGCATACAAATGAAGGCTCTAATTCCACTACTTCTACCCGCAATATTTTGAAATACAAGAGTTTTTTTATTCCAAAAAATCTCATTTTAAAAACAGTTTGAAAAAAAAGACACAAATATGAAAATCAGATTAGAATTGAGTTAAAACCTTTGAATTAAGACAAATTGCTACAACAAAGGCTGCTCTGAGAATTTTGTGAACAGATTGCAATACTGTTATAAATTTGTGATAAATTTCAACTTGTGTCAATGATAAGGCATATAGCTATGTCATAAAGTCTTCACTAGCTGGTCATTAATTTCATCGTTTAAATGTAACTGATCATTGAAAAAGTCCAAAACATTCTCTAATTTAATTGCCTCTGTATCGTCAGACTTAGAGAACTGCAATTAGACAACGGGAATTGAGGTAGCGGTGGGAAGGCAGTTTCAGGAAATCCTAACAACAGATTGGTCCGCGCTTGTTGGTCTCCTCCCTCCCCCCTTTTTGATTATTGTCTGGCTTGGTAACTATAAATCTCAGTTATACCAACTTATTTTCTTACTTCTCTAAAAATTTTCTTTTCGGTAAAGGCATATTGTATAAATTTGCCAGGAATGTACTCAGTTCTGTATTTATGGTTCTAAAGGATCCTATTGTGAAAATGCGATTTTAAATGAAATTTTTGTTCACTTCGAGAAACTTTTCCAATTCATTATCCGAAACTTCTATATTAAAGCTTGTTATAACTATTGTTATGGCCTGAAGATATTTGTTGTACTGACACGGTGTATGATGTTTTCACGCCTCTGAGTGGTATAATTTACCTTTTGGGTGTAGGATCAGCAGACGACACGCTCTAGCGGCCTGTCAGTCAAACGCTCGTCAGCGCGTGAGCCTCGACTTGGGCAGAACCTATTACCATTAGGTGAACAGTATACAAATCTCACCTTATTAAACGAAATGAAGAGTCACTGACAACCAATGCAGATTAATTAATGTGTGCAATTAACGATTCATTTTAAAGGAACAGAGATTCAAAAGAGACCGAAAAAATTGTGCATAAAGAAAAACATTTAAAAAAGAAATCAAATGAAAAACATGTCCGCACCTCGACGCGTGGATTCAGCGGAAAGTATCCGGGACCAGTATGAAGCTCTGCGGAAGCTGGCTATGGTGCAAGTAGGACCCCCAAGGAATCCCAACAAGCCTTTTACCTCATTTAGTATTTCTGATATTCTTGGAGGAAATAATAACAATGCCAATCGGCGACAAGTTCAAAGAAATCTAAATAACAACAATGTGAGAAGTATTGTAAGACCCTGGGACTCTCGGTGTAGTCCGGGGAGGGACAGTGAGTGTTCCTCTGACGAGGAAGAGATCAATGTGGAGGACGATGAACCCTCCCTACCCCTCATACAGAATGACTCCCCCCTGGATGCTCTGATGAAGATGGCCAACAAAACGTTTGAGGGTTTAGAAACCGCAGAATCAGCAGGTATGTGTCCGTCTATTGTCTTCTGGATTACCTCGTCCATTGTCAAAAACATTTTCTAGCTTTAAAATGGCTTGAGATATGTTGTGCCATTATAAATTATTGTGTTCCACTTCAATATTTGAGTGAAAATATTTATATGAAAAGATTTTACATCTGTTTTAGATACTAAATATTGTGTGTGTAAAGAAAAAAAACCCTTCATTTTCGTTTTTCTATTTATTAGTACAAAAAAATAATCAACTTAAGCAAAATAAATTGCTGAGTATAAAAGGAAAAATATCAAGACTAACGATAATTTTAAACAAATATTTTATCAAATTTTGATGTACCAAGATTTGATTACAATGCAAAGTCTGTGGGAAAATATAGAAGTACCAAACATCAGTCTTGAGTATAATTTTTTTAGGGTATCATATCTATGATGTGTTTTAAAATATCTCACTAAATACTATAAATGTAATAATCTGACGTTTTTTGTATCTATAATGTAAGTTTTTAGCAAAAGGACAGACAAGGAACAACATGAAATATTCCTAATATTAGAATTTAGCAAAATATATATTTAAAAAATATAATTTATATTATGAAATCAATTTACCACAAGTAGAATTATAAATATTCCTGTGAAAGTAAAAATTCTGTACTTAGATTAATATTTCAAAATTTACTGTATATCTATCTCTTGGTTACGGTTCATGAAAAAAGAATATAAATATATATGCTATTGTTATCATTTTTTCAGCAACACTTAGACATAAAGTAACTTTATCTTCAAGGAAATCGCATTGTTTCCGAAAATTATCAAGGATTAACCATAACCAATTTTTACATTTATTGTGGATATATTATAGTCGGTCTTGTATCTTTGATGAAAGTGTAGGCCTAGAAATTAAAAAAATTTTATGACTTAAAATTAAATCTTTAAGGTTGTAAATCTAAACATTTTCTTCGGCAAATATTCAAACTATTTGAAGTAAAGGTGTTGTTAATATGTTATTGCGTAACAAACAAGGAATCCTTGCATGTATCAATTGCTTTTGAAAAGAGCCAAGGGCCAGTTCATTTAAAGACTTGTCCTACATAATCAATTTATCCTATCTTTACAACCGTATCAAAGAAGCTTAAATTGGCGAGAAAATGATTTATGAAAGTGAAAAAGACGCACAAACAAAGAATGCCTCGGCGTTTGGAAGGTTTCTCCTTTGAGAAGAATTCTTGTAACATGATGTTTAATGGTAAATCCACGGAGAAGTTAAAAATGTGGTACTCAGCTGGGTGCTGGTCAGTCAAGATCAGAAAAAAACTCAATTAGGCGTAAAACCGGGCCCACTTCTGCTTGTATCATTACAAATGAGACTTGGACATTGGCGAGGCGGCCCATTACTGACCATGTCACTGCAATTATCGTCCTGTCTTCCTTACTGACCTAACTTCTTTAACCCATCACTTGGTCAGTTTCTCTTAAACGAACACAGCTAGAATTTTTGAACAGATTTTTATATATTTTTGGTATTTTATGCTTTATTTCCATATATAAGAAAATTTACATTATTGTAGAACTCGTGATGCAGTGATGATTTGACATTTTCACACGTAAAATAAATCTGCATTACTCATGCATGTATTTATATATATATTGTGTAGCATAAATCATGCCAAAATTAAGTACGGGTAGGAAAATGGTGATAATATATAGTTTTATAAGTCTTTTTTTTCTTTATAGTTAATGGGGATATTTTTGTTTATATATAGTTATTAGCTTTGAATATTATTGTTTCTATATACTAGTAGTTTATAGGGAAATATCGCACTAATTAAGTATGCAAACGACAAAGGTTATTGGAACACTGTAGTTAAAACAAAATGCTGATATGTTATTTTTAATATTCATATGTTAAACATTTTTTTTTCCGGAGGAAATGGGTCAGCAGAAATTAAGTTTTGTTTTAATATATCAAGTAATCATGCTTTGAACGTACTATTGTTTATGTTGAAACGAAATAAATGTCTTTTCTTATTTTTTTTTAAGAGAGCCCATTTATAAAATTCATAATTTTTTTTTTTAAATTTCTTTTTTGATAAGTAAGACAGAGATTTTTTTTTTTAATTTCAATATGGATTTTTATATCTAATATACAGGCTTTCAGTACAAGTACATGTATATATCTTGATAAAACAGGTCGATTAGTCAACAATTTAGTGCAGTAGGTGCAAAATTTGATTTAACGATATAAACCAAGTGAACATTTTCTCCCATCAATCATTATATTAAATTTTGTAATATTTATAAATTGGTAAACCAAATCTTAACCAGAGATATACCTCAATACTTAGGGGGCTTGGATTCATTGCGTAATTGATTTGCTGCTAGACGTTTAGAACTTACCAGTACTTCTTGTGCTCTTTTTTTATTATCATTATTGTTAAAAGCAAAATGCAAATGGTGACTTTTAAAATATTTTTTTTTTATTAAATTGTATATTTGTTATGTAGTATTTTGCAACATTGTCAATTGAAATTTACCATTTAGTTCACTGCGAATATGTATTCATAATTCTAAGAAAATATTACCTCTTCACTAAATTTTTGCTGTAGACGCAAACAAAGACTTTTTTTCTATGATAAAACAAGAAAAAAGATCAGGTCGCAAAAAAAATTATTTGGAATCAGCTCGCAAATGGTGTCAAATTAATTATTCAGGGAAAAAAACATAAAGAAATCGGATCAAGACCGCATCTGAAACCACAAGATTTGATCTGAAGGCTCCCTGACCCGTCCAGACACTGCTAGGGTGTATCTGATGATGAAAAATTAAAAATTGAGCACTTCATTCTTTAATTGAACCCCCCAAAGTAACAGATCTTGATCGCTAATTAGGCCATCCCGTGTTTGGGGATTTAGTGAAAAATGGTTGATTTCTTTGTCTTTGGGATTTTCTCTGAGATTAAGAGAAAATGGTTAATTAGATTGATCACGACGAGGTATCTATTCCTCCTAACATTTGATGATAGCATTATTAGACACAGAGAAAAAGAAACATCAGATCAGAATCCTTTTTATTATTATTTTTTGTAATATATTTTTTGTGGTTCTACTTTCTTAGTCGTGTTGTGTTAATGCACTTTTAGAGCAATTAGTGGAAAAAGAAAAACAATAAAATGACTTGAATAACTAATTTGTCTCTCAGACTCACACATCAAAAGTGAAAATGCATGTTAAAACAGCTGAGCTAACGTCGCCGTATGAAATTTTACGAAAATTAATTCTTCAGAAATTGACCCCATCTTCACGTCTCGTCTGTTAACAATTTCTCCAGCAAATATTGATATTTTTTTTAATTCTGTTGTCTCTTTTACTTATAACTTACCTAAAACATTATATAATTTGAGACAACAGCATCGTATAAAAACAATCAAAATGTGATAAAAGATTTATTTTATTTCATTCACATTTTAGTGCGCTAATTGAAAAAAAAAAGCTTGCCATGCGCTTCACGTGTTAATATTTTTTCTTCATAATTTATGAATTATGTGACTTGTCACATTAAAATCAATCAAAAAGAATTTTTGTAGCAGTTGACGGAGGGTTAAAGAATAATAAATATTTATGTAGGATAATGAGATTGTATAAAATTAATTATCCAGACAACGCTCTTCGAATCATAAAACCCACACGTGTAATTTCGGCAGGTTGGATTTTTATGACTGCTTGCCATCAATACCTCATGAATGAATCCTCTTGTAAAAATGTACAGATTTCGGGTACCTAATAAACACGTTTATCTGGAAAAACACCAACGTGTTATTATTATCACATTTTACTATAATGCATTAAAAACATTGTATTTGGTGTTCATCAAAAATAAGAAATTTTTACTTTTCATTAATTTAAATTAATATAAAAAAATTAATTAAATTTTTGATAAAAATGAACTACATTTTGTTGAAATTTAAATCTTGTTGCCACTGATCTATGACCAGTTATAGGGTTGTTACTTGGAATATATTCTAGATGTTGTTTCTGAAATGCTGTAAATAGGTTTTCAACACCCGCGTCCTCTGTCGGTGTTTATGGTAGAATGTCCATTGACTGCAAACTCCGGCGCTTCTACCATCATCGCTTCTATTCACGCGTCCCAGCCATGAAATGCTATTAAATACAACTACTGTTTTACATACGATGTGTTGGCAATCTGGTGGTGAAAGTATGAATTCAGTTGCTTTGAAGTGTATTGTTTCTAATGAACATCATACCAAAACATTTCATTCCATAATCACTTTGATGAAGACCCAGCCGATCTAATATTTCCCTTTAAATATTTTTTTTGAAAAATATTTTAAACTTAAAATTTGCAATGAAATATTTGTTAGCAACTGTTCATTCACTTTGATTGCCAATACGTTCAAATTATTAATTCAATCATGTAATCTTCAGTGACGGATATTTGTTTAAGCCCATTCTTAACTCTTTTATTGTTTAAATTTTGCAATTTGCATTATTTTCTTTACTACATAACAAGAGTAATTAACATTTCTATTACATTACTATGTAACTCAAATGCTTTCTGCCTGTAGGGCAGGTTTGTTTTACTTCTCCAGATTTTTATCCTCGAATAAAGCGTTTTAGTGTTGGTTTCGCAGACAAGTTTTTATGTTCAACAAACGACATGATATCGCAGGCCTCAGCAGCAGTCTAAACACAAACTTCTCTCGTTATCAAACGTACATAAAATTTTTGTGATCATAGATATACATTTTAGAGCTCAAAATTGAAAGGAAGAAGATCATAAAAGTATGATTGCTGCTCTCTTAAATGTCGAGAACCTCTATTCGTCATTTCATCTGAATCTTCGAAACGCTTTGTGACGTCACGAAACACAAAGAGCTACCCGTTGAATCTTGGGGTAATAATATTCATGTTGCTGTCAGTGCGATACTTTATACATTTAATATACCAACACTCTGTCTTTTTACGATGAATAAATAGCCCAATTAACGAAA